GAATCAAACCTGGGTCAGTGCTCTTAACCACTGAGCCATCTCTCCAGCCCCCAAACAAAAGTCTTAAAAAATTTTTATTTTAAATTTTGAAATTTAAGAAAAAGAGTAAAGGGGTTAGTTAGGAAGACGACTCAGTGACTTGAGCTCAACGCCCAGAGTCCACAAGGTGGAGGGACAGACCAGACTCCTGCAGATTGTTCTCTGACTTTCATATGCACTCAAATGTAATTAAAACCTTTTTAAGAGTAAGAAATGAATGTGATCATCTCTATAAATGCAAAAAAGGTCATCTTACAAACACCTATCTGGTGGTATGCAGACACCTTCCCAGTCCTCCAAAGCCTGCTCAAGACCCTGTGTGGCTCCATGTCTTCAGTACTGCCTGGCCCACTAGTGTGGATTCAAACAGTGACTATAACTAGACATACAGCATCAACACTGGATGGTCTGCAGTGTCCACAGTCTAACCCAGGCATGCAAACTGTGAGGCAGCAATGTGTGTGCTCAAGGCAGAGTCCATTGTGTTCACTCTAAGCCTCATATATGAACGAGGGGACAATGCTGTAAATAAACTATAAGTTAGCACAAAGATAGAAGAAACACATTTGAAGGAGCAAATTAAAGGGCTGGGGCTCCCTGTAGCCCCAGCTGTCCTGGAACTCCCTATGTAGACCAGGCTGGCCTCGAACTCACAAAGAGTCACCTGCCTCTGCCTCCCGAGTGCTGGGATTACAGGCGTGCGCCACCACGCCCGGCCTGACCTGGAACTTTGTAGCCCAGGCTGGCCTCCAGCTCACAGAGATCCGCCCACCTCTGCCTCCCAGTGCTGGGACCACAGGTGTGCGCCACCTCGCCCAGCTGACTATGATACTTTAAGTCTCAGCCCCTGGACACTGCTGCTCTTCTCAGCTTTGCTCACACACGGTTTATTCTTTGCAGCAAATTAAGCTGTAAGAAGCCTGGGAATAAAGTTGGGAAAAAGTTAATAAAATTATTTGCCTAGTAAAAAAAAAAAAGACAAAAATAAAATAAAATAAAATCCCTGCCAAGAATGAGAAACTAACTTTGACGCTGACAAACACACCTGGAGTTAAAAACACACGGTACAGCCCAGAATTTCAGCACTTGGGAGGCAGAGGCAGGCGGGTCTGTGAGATCAAGGCAGAAAGACAAAGTGCGCATCTTGAAGAAAAGTACTTTAACAAATATTGTTATAACAAATATACGAGTTGCCTCAATGAACAGGAGAGTAAAAGGTGTTACCTGATCATGCTGGTTAGTTTTGTCAACTTGACACAAACTAGTCACTGGGAAGAGGGAGCCTGCACTGAGGAATCTCCTCTATCAGACTGGCCTGTGGGCTTGTCTGTGAGGCACTGATACCTGATGTTCCAGTGTGGGTGGTGGGAGCCAGGTGTGATGGCACACGCCTTCAATCCCAGCACCAGAGGCAGTGGTGGGCAGGTGCTGCTCTGAGTTCCCTCACTGCTGGACTGTCACCTGAAGTGTAAGCTCAATAACTCTAAGTTGGTTTTGGTCAGTGCTTTCTCACACCAAGAGAAAACAAAATCGGACAACTTCCTAAAGGAAAAACTACAATGACCAAAAGAAAAAAATAATTTCCAGACTGGACAAAACCCACAAATTTAGATAAATACAAAGAAAATCACGTTATCAGCATTCCAAACTGTAATTCTGTGAAATATGGTTTTGAAAAAAAGAACCCAGAAATGTTTCCACACAAGCAGAATCCCCACTGTCATTTAAAAACAGGGCAGTATGGGGGCGGAGACGGCTCGGAAGGGAAGAGCGTTTGCTGCTCTTATAGCAGATCCAGTTCCCAGCTTGACCCCTCCTTGTCCTTTATGGACAGTGGTGCTCTGCTCACTAATAGCTAACAGGCTTCTGTCCCTGGCTCACCAAGTTACCAGACTTCTCTGGACTTCATTGATGTAGAGGCTTGAGGAGGGGGCATTCTGCTCTCTGGATGCTGGGGAGACGACTGGACAGCTGCCCCTGGGATGCCAGGGTAGGTGCAGCCTCACTTCTACAGACATCAGAGGTCCGTCATCCGGCCAGTCTCCATGGCCTTGGGTGCGCTGTGCATCCCATCGCCGTTATGATGGGAAAATTCCTGTTTTGCACTGCTTGAGCACTTACCGTACGTAAACTGTGTGAACTTCAAACACAGAGCTTCCTAAAGCTCTCAAGAGGGCAATGAAAATGTTCTTGGGTGGACGAATGCCGAGGGTCCCCTGGTCTAATCTCAAGTTTTTGGCATTGGTCAAGCAGGGGGGCTACAGCTATAGATCAAGACCCTGTCACAAGAGCCCAGGGGACAGGAAGCTGGGAACGGCAGCACTTCTGAGGCAGAAGCAGGATCAGGAGTTCAGGGTCATCCTTTGCTGTCACTGCTGACACAGCTCAGTGGTTAAGATCACTGGCTGATCTTACAGAGGACTGAGATTCCTAACCCAGCACCCATATAGTGGCTCACAACCATCTATAACTCCAGTTCCATGGGATCCCATACCTTCTTCTGGCCTTCATGGGCAGTGCAGGACACAGATACCCTTACATATGTGAAGGCAACACACTCAAAAATTTTTATAAACCCACAAAACTGAACACTCTGGCCAGGCGTGGTGACACATGCCTTTAGTCCCAACACTCAGGGGACAGAGTCAGGCAGATCTATGTGAGAATGAGGCCAGCCTGGTCTATACAGTGAATTCTAGGCCAGCCAGGGCTACAGTGAACCACCCTGTCTCAAAAAATCAGAACAAAGGAAATACTGAAAACTCTCTGGAGCCTGGTATACTGGCACACACCTTTAATCCCAGCACCAGGGAGGTAGAGGTACAGGCAGGTGGATCTCTGAGTTCAAGGCCAACCTGGTCTACATAGCTAGTGCCAGGCCAGCCAGAGTTACATGGTGCAACACTGTTTAAAAAAAAAAAAAAAAAAAAAAAAGGGCCGGGGCTGGTGGGCCACGCCTTTAATCCCAGTGCTCGGGAGGCAGAGGCAGGCGGATCTCTGGGAGTTCAAGGCCAGCCTGGTCTACACAGTGAGTTCCAGGACAGCTGGGGCTACTGGGAGACCCTGTCTCAAAAAGACCAAAAACAAAAAACAACAAAAAAATCCAGGTGTGGTGGCATACACCTTTAATCCTAGCACTGAGGCAGAGGCAGGTGGAGCTCTGTCCAGCCTGGTCTACATAGTGAGTTCCAGGCCAGCTGAGGCTATAGAGAGACCCTGTGTCAAAAAAGAACCCCCCCACCAAAGTTGAGACCCCATGGTCTAGCAATTACAGCTTCTTTACCACATTCAGACAAGCTTGTAAACGTTCACAGTATTTCTGTTCATAGTTTTTCCCTTCTTTAAAGCAGCATCTGGGGGCTGAAGAGATGGCTCAGCGGTTAAGAGCACTGGCTGTTCTTGCAGAAGACCCGGGTTCGAATCCCAGCACCCACATGGCGGCTACCAACTGTCCGTAACTCCGGTCCCAGGGGATCCGACAGCCTCTTCTGTCCTCCGTGGGCACTGCACGACACGGGTACACTTACCCGCATGCAGACGATACACATATACACATAAAACAGTAAGGTATAATAAAGCAACATCTGGAATCTGGAGACTATAGACAATCAGGAGTTCAAAGTCATCCTCAGCTACCTCACAAGTTTGATCAAGGCCAATCTGAGCTACATGAGACCCTGCCTGGAGAAAAAAAAAAAAAATCAACCAACTGCTGGGCCTGGTGGCACACGCCTCTAACTCCAGCACTAGGGAGGCAAATGATGCAGGTGGATCGGAGTTCAAGGCCAGTATGGTCTACACAGTGTCCCAGACCAGTCAATGCTGCAGAGTGAGCCATCACAAACAAAAAACCCCCAAAATCCATCAACCAACCAAAATATAAAACTCCTAAAAAAGCTAAAGAGCGGTGCCTCTAGGATCTAAAGGCAGGTGTGTTCTCTGGTGGTACAGCGTGAGGTGTGTGCCAGAACTTTGTCTTTTTCTCTGTTCTCTAGGCAAGTCCATTTTGAAGAGAAAATCTGTGACATACCAGTTCCAAAACGTGGGAGAGTCAATCAAATACGTTGACAACTGCTAAGAGCTGAGGGCCAGCTACAGCCCGTGCTGGCACCGGAGGTGTGGAAGAAAACACAAATGCAAAGACCTTTCGTCTCACAGTGATGCTGGCCCAACAGGCAGGAGGTATGCCAGGGTCCATCCCAGGCCACCGTCACACATGGGGGATGCCCTTAGCTATGTGGGTTTCTGAGCAGGGTGAATAGAGGCGAAGGACTTGGTTGCTCCTGCTGCAGGGGAAGAGCTGACACTCAGCTAAGAGGGCTGGGCAGGGCAGAAGCAGGCTGCAGTTTCCACATCCAGTCTAGGGGATGAAAGATTTGAAGGCCTGTGAAAACCACCCATCAGGGGATTCCAGAGGAGCCCTTGTGAGGCAGACCTGAGCTGAGGCATGAGGGAAGGCAAGGGCTGCCCAAAGAGACTGTCCAACAACGTCCAGCTTCGACCTGGGAACTGTAGAGTGGGGCCTCTCGTCACCAAAGCCATGTCCACGGTGCACATCCCCGTGTACAGCCTGCTGCATCCGGAGGGAAGAGTGTGAAGGTTCCTCCCCTGCCTGCACCGGAAGCTGCAGAGATCAGACAGACCAGTGCGACAGCATCGTCGGTGTCTCCCTAAAGGGTGGAATGTGGGCACCTCTGCTGGCACCTGAGGCCAGGCAGACCAAAGCTGGCCCAGTGTGGGACAGTGACAACAAGATGAGTAAAGAGAGCTACTCGAACCCACTCTCCAGGCTGGCCTCAAACCTCACAGACCAGGTGGGTTATCCTCTCAGAGGCCGCGCTGGGGAGGCACCCACACGACACCCCCAGGCCCATCTCACGGCAGGCAGTCCTGGACCCCTCCATCCCACCAGCCAGGAGGACAGGTGGCTTCAACACACACCACTCAGCTCTTCACAGGTACAGAGTACAACAAAATTAGTCACTTTTATTTAAAAGAAACAGTACAAATAAGTGTGCAAAATTAAGTTTCATGATTAAATACACATAAAGGCAACATGCATACTTGACATCAAATCCACATACAAATTAGTCGATTACAGGAGTAAGGGCACTGGCAGAACTGAGACCTGCTGCTGTGCAGAATTTAAATGCTGCAACCTGAAATCAAAGACGCAAAACTGAGCTTCTTAGAAGGGATGTAAGAAAACTAAGCACACACCTCAAGTGCCGGCACCAAAGCCTTGTCAGTACTGGACGTGCTGCCACCCCCAGTGTCAGGATGCACTTCCGGACATGGGGCAATGAGAGGGTGGATGCCTCAGGTCAAGGCAGTTCCCTCCACACCAACAGGTCACAAGGGGACACATGGGCATGGCCCTGAGAAGGCCCCTAAGTGACTTTCTTCTGTGACTCATCTTTAAAGTCTGTATTACTTCGTTTCCTACAGTAATGGAAAACTGTTTTAACCCAAACTAAACCAGGAGACCCCGCTCTTTGCAGCCTGAGCACTGGGCCTCAGGAGGGTGCCACACGCATTCTACTTGCTGGTGGGTCTGGGGTGTGGTCCTAACAAGGTCAGGACACCTAGAGACCACACCACAGTGCATCTGAACAGGGCTCCTCGTGTGCAGCAGAGGGAGCTCCGTCCCTGTTCTGGACAAGCTGCTCTTACTCTACTGGAACCAGTCTAGGATCTGAGTCCTGCACGCTCATCCCTCCCACTGAAGAAGGGAAAACTGACGGCCTCTACTGCAAAACAAGCTCCCACACGTGTGCTGCTCTTGGATGGTCCACAGGTCGGCAGGGAGCCTCTCAGCATGAAGATACAGTGCGGCCACTAATGCTAACATCAAAGTTGAACTAAAGGAAAAGAGGCCAGTGGGGGGCACAAGATGCCCAGAGCCACAGAGCATCTGTGGAACTGTGATGATGATTCTCTTTAATGTGGCAACGGGAAGCCTTGCTCAGGAAGGCAGACAACCACGTATGGCTTCAAGACCAAGGTCCCGGGAGTCCTTGAGCCCCTCACCCACAGGCCTGGGGCACTGGCACCAGCCCCAGGAGTCCACAGGGCACTGGGTGGTGGCATCAGCTGCACTCAAGGGCAGAGTCACAGCTTGTCATCAGTCATCTCCAGGAATTGTGCACACACGTCCCGGACACACTCCCCCTTGGGGCTGAACAGGAACTTGTAGTAGCTGCCGTCGGCACAGATGGCTGGGGCAGAAGGAGACCCTGTCAGCATACACTTACTCTCCCAGAGTCAAAGCAAACAGGCCTCACTGGGCAAAGGGAAAACAGCCTCAGGAAACCTGAGCACAGCTGGCCGGGAGTCACAGGCTGCCCGGGGGATAATCATCCAAGGGCCAGATACGGGAAAAGAGTCTGAAGTCATCTGCGCAAGACCGTATCTGCCCCAAAGCTTTCCTGGGAAACCAGGAAGGCAGGTCTTGATGGCACCCTCCCCAGCCATAGGAGGTGGACAGGGGGCAATGGGGCGGCTGAACCCTGACCGCACGGGACGGACCACTTACCAATGACTGCGTTGGGCTCTGTTCCAAAGGCACAGATGCATGGAGAGCCTGAGGGGACCTGAAACTTGGAGAAACTCCACTTGGAGCTGAAGTACTTTGGAAGGAAGCTAGCGGATGCCAAGCTGTGAGGGCAAGAAGAGAAAAGACTGCTGCACTCAGGGGCCCAGACACAGAGAACACTGAGACTCCCTTTGGTTCAGACTGAGTGATCTTATTTCTTAAATATAAACGGCCAGGCATGGTGGTGCAGGCCTTCAAGGCAAAGGCAGGCCGATCTCGGAGTTCCAGGCCAGCCAGGGCTACAAAGTGAGACCCTGTGTCAAAAACCAGAACACATATGCACTCAGGGTTTTGCAATGAAACAGTGTGGCTTTCGGCACGAAAGGGCACAGGCTCTCCTGCCATCACTTAACCCAGAGCACGAAAACCAGAGGGCCTTCCGTTCAGGACTGAGTTCCAACCACCTGATGTGCAATGTCAATCCACGTTTGCGTTCAAACCCCATGAAGATCAAATTAACGACAAGAGTTCAACCTCAACTGTGGGTTGGTTCAGGTGGAAGCACCAGGAAACCATCAAACTCGGGGTGCTCCCTACCACAGCTTCCCTGAAACCTACCTAGACTGTTTATTCCTTTTTGGATCTTCAGCTGCAAAAATGTGCACAGTGCCGTGGTCACTGGACACACAGATGAGGGAAGCGTCCTGATTGAAGTTGATGCTGCAGAGAAACCAGACAGGGCTTGTCTGTATGGACACAGAGGACCAGACCCAACTCACACACCGCACTAGCCCATACCCAACATTATCAGACTAAAGGCAGCAACTTTACGTAGCACCCTGCCCCTTTACTAGCCAACAGCACCCACTGTGGCACCAGGATCAAAGCCAAAAAAGCACAATCTGCGCACCACGGCTCTGTCCTTGGGTGTTCCACAGGCAGGGCTGCTGACAGCTGTGTACCAGAGACGGGCACTGGGGCTTCCTGAGATGACCTCACATCATCTTCAGAAGGCCCAGGGAAGAATGGCACAGGCTGTGCTGGAGAGGCAACTATTAAGTATGTCAGTGTAGGCACTGGCCACGCGCAGTCTGTGCCCGAGAGCAGACAGGCAGGAGAGTGCGCTGCATCCCAGGGCCAGGACCTACAGGTTAAATCTGCTAAGTCTGACTCAACACCTGCAGGCCACAGATGGCAGCCATGTCATGAAACCCTGCCTGGCTGGCTTCAGCACTACAGACCTCATGGCATCTGGCAGAGAATGAACTCAATATTATAGACAAACTCTCAAGGCCTGTACCATAAAATGACACAGGGAAGTAAGCTGGGATGGAGGGAGGGACACAGATGAGCCTGGCAAACAGACTCGTGCTGCAGCAGGAAGGTGAGGGACCACGCTGGTCCGCCTTGTGCATACTTCCCATGAGAAAGAGTTAAATCGGCAATAACAGAAAGAGCGAAAACCCAGCACTCTATAAGAGCCCAGCCACACTACACTGTGTGGTCGTGCAGGCCATGCACCCCAGGGTGAAGTCCTTACCAATAGATATTAGCTGCTTGAGATCCTCTTCGTAGCTCCTGGATTAAATGCCCTGATGAAGTATCAAATATTCTTATAAGGGTCCCCTTTGAAAAACAGTGAAGTGTTTCATTATCAACAATTCACAACTCTTTCATTAGTTTGAAATGATTTTTATATATTTTTATTTATTTTTGAGACAGGGTCTCCCTGTAGCCCCAGCTGGCCTGGAACTCACTACGTAGACCAGCCAGGCTGGCCTTGAACTCAGAGAGATCCACCTGCCTCTGCCTCCTGAGTGCTGGGATTAAAGGCATGCGCCACCATGCCTGGCTTGAAACGATTTATATTTAAGACCCACTGGTCCCAACAGCCCTTTCTAAACTTGCCCGTACTGTCTAAGGGTCTCCCTGTAGCCCCAGCTGGCCTGGAACTCACTACGTAGACCAGCCAGGCTGGCCTTGAACTCAGAGAGATCCACCTGCCTCTGCCTCCTGAGTGCTGGGATTAAAGGCATGCGCCACCATGCCTGGCTTGAAACGATTTATATTTAAGACCCACTGGTCCCAACAGCCCTTTCTAAACTTGCCCGTACTGTCTAAAACTCAGCATGTTCCTCGTCTCCCAGCTCAGGCCACAGCATGGAAGGAGCAGGAAGACCATCTGCTAGTGGGGGCCGTGGCCCTGGCACTTTCCTCTTCCCCACAGGCGACAGGAGGAGCATGAACTGCCCTCAGAAACACAGGGCAGCACCGAGTGAGGCCAGAGCACCTCCACCAACTACACAACCACCCTGAGAAAGCAGAGGTGCTCCAAGACTCAAGACCACTAACATGCCCTTAAGAGACGGTTCCTAGTTGATCTGATGCTGGGATGAACATGAGTGGTCACAGCTCTGGTGGAAGGTGACCCAGTAACCTCTAAAAATAAGTCCATCTTCCTGTCTCACTCATGGCAATGCAGCAGGGTAACCAGGAGGGGGCGCCCTACAGCCAACAGAGCTGCCCGCTGATAGCTAGCACTCCACACACTTCCCAAATACCCTGCTCAGCACAGGGACAAAGATGAGGCTATGAGAATCTAGCAAGAGCCAGGCGTAATGGAGCACACTTTTAATCGCAGCACTGGGAGGCAGAGGCAAGTGGATCTGTCTGAGATCAAGGCCAGCCTGGTCTACACAGTGAGTTCCAGACCTTGTCTCAAAAAAACCCCCACCAAACCCCAAAAACAAAACAAAACAAAACAAAAAAACAAACAAAAACCTACCATCAACAAAATCCTATACAACAAACCACAGAATCTAGCAAGAGTTTAACTACATGATGGCCAAGTAAACTCTGGGGAGGAAAACAATTACTGCAGAAACCAGTAAAACAGCAATTACTCGTTTTTCCTTTTTTTTGGTCTTTTTGAGACAGGGTCTCCCTGTAGCCCCAGCTGACCTTGAACTCACAGAGATCCACCTGCCTCTGCCTCCTGAGTTCTGGGATTAAAGGCGTGCGCCACTATGCCCGGCTCGGTTTTCCTTTTAAAATTATTTTTATTTGGGGCTGGAGAGATGGCTCAGCGGTTAAGAACACTGGTTGTTCTTGCAGAAGTCCCAGGTTCGAATCCAGCACCCACATGACAGCTAACGACTATCCGTAACTCCAGTTCCAGGGGATCCAACGGCCTCTTCTGTCCTCCGTGGGCACTGCACGACATGGGTGCAGTTACATGCAGGCAATACACTCATAAAATAAAAATAATAAAATATATTTCTAAAAATTATTTTAATTTTATATGTGTTTTCCTGGCACGTATGTGCACCTGTGCATGCAATGCCCAAAGAGGCAAGAAGGCATCAGATCCCCTGGAACTGGAGTTATGGACGGTTGTTAGCCTCCACGTAGATGCTGAGAACCAAACCTGGGTCCTCTGCAAGAGTAGCCAGTGCTCTTAACTGCTGAGCCATCTCTCCAGTCCCTCTTTTTGGTTCTGAGACAGTCTCACGCTGTAGCCCAGGCTGGTCTCAAACCCGAGGCAATTCTGCCTCAGCTTCCCAAGTGCTGGGATTCCCGGCTGCAGTTCCTAGTTTTGTAACATGAGTATTAGATTAAATGAGTGACAGAATGGAATATAAAAGGTCTGTAATTGACAAAAACCAAACAGCCTGACACTGGAAAAAATCCTTGTACCAAAGCCTATTTTGTAACAAATAGCTGAATATCTCATGTAGTTTACTGAATACTCACATCTAAAAGTGTTGGAGTGTGCATGATGGCACAGACTTATAAACCCAGCTACGCAGGAGGCTAAGGAGGGACATCAAGTTCACGGACTGCCTGGGCACAGAAAGTCTTCACTCAAGGCCAGTGGGGGCTACACTTAGCAAGACCCTCTTTTTAAAAAAAAAATTGGTTTCTGAGACAGAGTCAGGCATACCAGGCAGGCCTGGAACTGACCTCCTGAGTGCTGGGATTACAGGTGTATATCATCACGTGGATCAAACACAGAGCTTCATGTATGTTAGGTAAGAATTTTATCAACTAAACTACATCCCCAGCTCAAAAGAGTTTTATTTCTAAATTTACACGAATGTGACTTGTTTAGTAAGCACAGTGAAATGTAGGTAATCTCAGTGCTCAGGAGGCTGAGCAGGAGAATCATAAGTTCTGGGCCAGCCTGGGCTACATCTAGTGACACTAGTCTCAAAACCCAAATGTACACCCCACTGCACAGCAGTACCTAGTTAGATCTCCCGGTGGCTGGGGCAGGATGGAGCAGGACTCATCACCTCTGCTACTTGTTCGCACACACTGACCACTGCTGTCCCCCAGTAGCAACCCAGGCACCAACTACACTGGCAGAGCACAGCTGCTCCCCGGCACCAGCAGGCTGCACCCACTGACAGATACTTCAAGGGCTTGTGGTCTCACCCCAGTTGACAATTGATAATTTCCTACAAAGCGATCCTGAGCTTACAGCTGTAAGTGGAAATCATAGTATAAAGATACTGATTTTTGGAGGCCTGCAAGATGGTTGAGCGGGTAAAGGTGCTGCCAAGCCTGGCAATCTGTGTTCAATCTCTATGTGGAAAGAACCAGATCAACAAAGTTGTCCTCTGACATACATGTGTGTTGTGGCATGCTCTCCCCCAATCTTGTGTGTGCATGTTCACATACACACATACGAATAATTATAAAATAAAAATAATAGGTATCAGACCATGCATGGTGGTGCATGACTTTAATCTCAGCACTCGGGAGGCAAAGGCAGGCAGATCTCAGTGAGTTCGAGGCCAGCCTGGTCTACACAGCAAGTGTTCCAGGCCATTGAGAACACAGTGAGACTTTTAGTCTCAAAAAGAAAAAAAATAAATAAACCACAATTTTCTTTTTCCACTTCAGGCAAACTACAGGGAATGTATCACCAGTAATGCAGAGAGGGAATACTCCTAGACAGGTTTGAAAGGCACTTCTGAAGTGTCACTGGGCAACCACAGCACAAGGGTATCACTCTTGTAGTCCAGGATGGCCTTCAACTTATGATCTCTGCCAGTGGCCCAGGGCTGGTATCACAGACACTATCATACCCAGTCAGTATTTGCCCTTATTACAGTCTACAACACACTGGGTTTCCAAAGAACAGGAAATAAACAGCATGAAGGCCTCGATCCTTCCCAAAATGTGATCACCCCGGCACTTACTTTTTCAGATGCAGTTGCAATTCTTGTTCCCTGCAGGTTGAGAGCAATGCAGCTCAGGACGCCCTCGTGAGCGGGAATGTCTACTGGTGGCTTCTCAGTGCTGGCCAGGTCCACGAGCTGCACGTGGCCCGTGTGGGTGCCAGGGAAGGCGAGAAGAGAATTATTACTGTTGGGACACAGGACGCAGAGACCTGAGCAGAGACAGAGAACCAGTTGGGAACTGACAACGGCCAACACCTGATTCTTCTTCTTTTTTAAGTTTTTTGTTGTTTTTTTTTTGGTGTTTTTAAGACAGGGTCTCCCTGTAATGGGGGCTGTCCTGGAACGCACTATGTAGACCAGGCTGGCCTTGAACTCAGAGATCCACCTGCCTCTGACTCCCGAGTGCTGGGACTACAGGTGTGCGCCACCAAGCCCGGCCCTTTTTAAAAATATTTTATTATTTTTATTTTATGTGTATGAGTGTTGCCTGCATGTGTGTAAGTGCACCCGTGTCATGCAATGCCTGCAGAGGTCAGAAGAGGGTGTCGGATCCCCTGGAACTGGAGCTATGGACAATTGTTAGTCATCATGTGGGTGCTGGGAATTGAACTCAGGTTCTCTGCAAGAGCAGACAGTACTCTTAACCACCGAGCCATCTTTCCAGCCCCCAAAGTCTGATTCTTTACAACCCAAACCTACTTCCTGCCCTCAAGTCCTCAGACACAAGTAACTATTTGTGGAGTATGTTTACCTCAGAATGGTGTATCAGGGCCAAAATTGCTGCCCATAAGACCTGCTCATAACCGGGAAAAATGGCTGAGCTTCCGCTGAATGTCACTCACGGCGCCAGCTACAGAGACTACAATGAAAACTATGGCATCTAAGAACTCCGAAAGCAGAAACATAAAAACCCCTCAGACACTTAGGAGTGCAACTGGCAACAGATGCACCCCACTATGCAGGAGACCTGTACACACTGCCCGTCCACAGCCATCAGTTGGGAGACCCAGCTTTGCCTGTATCTAACCCGTCGTCTACAGTCTGTGTAGACACAGCTAAAACCTCAGCAGATGAGTTCAAAGAGTTAAGAGGTAGAAGAAAGCCCCTAAAAGGCCAACAAGTTTTGGTGACCTGTGACTGAAAGATCACTGTCACCTAATTTCAAGACTTAACTTCGAAGTCTCAGCAATCCGGGAAGGATGACATTGTAAAGGCTGAAGCAGGGACTACCAGAAAAGAACAGGGAACTAGGGAAGACGGGGACCAAAGTACCGTAACACAGAAAAACAGCACTGAAAACCATTGGACTCAGCAGGGTACAATGGAGCACACCACCTGTAAGAACCCAGCACTCAAGAGGCTGAAGCAGGAGGACTGTGAGTTCAAGGCCAGGCTAGGCTATACGAGATTATGTCTCAATAAATGAGTAAGTAAATAAATAATAAAAATACTCAAAAAGTTGACATGTGCTGCCTGGCTGGCATCTCAGCTGATGCAGGATCACCTGAGCCTAGAAGTTCAAGACTGGCCTGAGCTGCACAGCATGACTCCGTTCAAAAGAAAAACGGAATGGGCGGGAGGGGGGAGAATTAAAGAGAAAAAAAGGTGAGCTAATACAACATCCAGTTAGACATAACTGAGGGAAACTCACAATTTTTAACACAGCACAGAAATGACAATGAACAGATGAGTCACTCACAGAGAGGAAAAATGCTGAGGTTAGAGGTCAGGTGCCCAGTGTGGGAAAGGAACAGCTGCGTGGCTCAAACTGCTGGGGAGGGGATGTGGGAAGACCCTCCCCCACCCCCACAATGCCGAGGGAGTTCAGGCAGGGAGGGAGGAAAATCTGGCAGCCTGCAGAGCGCTGCGGGTGTGCACGACTACGCACAAGACCCGGTGCAGCCCCACTGCTCAGACGAGGCCCCCCGGGGAGAGGGCACCCAAGCCTCCTCGCCACTGCGCCCACAGCTGTGCTTCCTGTCCGTCTCACCTTTAGGGTTACAGCAGGTTTCAAAGACGTGCAGCTGATGGGGGTTGTGTGTGAACGTGAACACCTTGATCATGGAGTCCAAAGCCACCACAATTCTGAAAGAAAACTGCCATCAGAGCTCCTCTCAAGAAAGCGAGATTCTGTTATCTTCTGAAGCTCACACAAAAAAGACTGGGCATTTTGCTTTTTTGTTTTTGGTCTTTTTGAGACAGGGTCTCCCTGTAGCCCCAACTGTCCTGGAACTCACTGTGTAGACCAGGCTGGCCTTGAACTCACAGAGACCCGCCTGCCTTTGCCTCCCGAGTGCTGGGACTAAAGGCGTGCGCCACCATGCCCGGCTGGCATTTTGCTTTTTTGAGACAGGGTCTCACTCTGTAGCTCGGCTGGCCTTGAACTTCAGTGGTCCTGTCTCTGACTCCCAAGGGCTGGCATTAGCAGTGTGCCAGCATGTCTGGCATTGCTTTAGTTTTGAGACAGGGTCTCACATAGTACATGTTGGTCTTAAACTCGATATGCAGATGAGGCTCGCCTTGAACTCCTGATCCTCCTGCCTTTACGTCCCAAAAGTTAGGACTACAGGTGTGTGCCACCGTTCTATTGGAAGCAGGTCCAAATGTGGCCAAGGGAGCAGAGCACAAACGCTGAGTGGGCTCCCGGCCGCAGTGCAGCCTTCGAGCACCTCCTGAGCTCAAGTAGACATCCTGTCTAGAGCCATCAACAACCCAACATTGACTCTCCTCCTCCCACAGGTGCCTTCCTAACTAAGGGGTGTGATGAGTGGACAACATGCCTGAATCCAGCTCTTGGGAAGCTCAGGCAGGGTGAGGAGATTTCAAGGCCAGCTTAAGCTGCCCAGGAAGACCGTCTCAACAAACTCCACCACAGTTCTCAAATAGAAGGCTCTTGGTCTGGATCAAGCTGTTGCACTACTTAGACCACTAGTGCTAACTTGGCAGGGCCAGCCCCTATCTACACTCCATTCCTTAGCACCTGGTGCTCCTGTAACAGACAGAACCTGACTTCTTAAGAGCTTGAGATGGAAATCACATCAAATTAGAACCCAAGTGAAGAAGCTCTGCTCTCCCTGGTCAGCACACCAGGGCAGGGCAAGCCTCCAGAGAGCGATGCTGGGCAGAGCCTGCTGCTCGAGCAGTGCGCGTCAATGGCATTACCAGCTTCCAAGTTCTCCCTTCTCAACATGAACTACCCAATAAAGGCAGCGTCTGACAAGGCCTGCCTGACACTGGGGTGGTGGCTCCTCACTGCAGACCTGGGACATCTCCATGCCCACCCAGCACTCCCCTCTAAAGAGTCCAGAGGCCAGTCAAGTTCCCAGCCTTCCCCTTGGCACAAGTGTGGGCCACAACTACAGGTACTGCTATCTTAATACACTGCTACACAGAAAAGAACTGCATCTATTTTTAAAGAAATGAAACTCCACCTAGGAAAGCAACACAAACCCACCTATCTCGCCGCAACTTGACAGCCTTGACCTCTGTGGAGAACTCTATCTCGATAACAGTCTTCTTCTTCAGGTCATCCCAGATCATCACTGAAACACAAAGGGATGTACATGGTGTCACAGGCAGCCCAGGGCTGGTCTGCAAACGCCACTTAACACATGAGGCTGGGGAGGGCTTCCCCTTAGAATCTTCCTGCCCACTTGCTCCCACCCCTTTCCAATGTAGCACACACAAGTACAACCAAAGGCTCACACAACCAACCTCTTACACACTCAAGCACACACAACCGTGCTTAATTCCAAAGCCTGACTGCAGTTACTAAGTGTTTAAAAAGTGCCCGAGAGAAGCCCGAGTCAAAATGTGAAAGGAAAGGGGCTGGAGAGGTGGCTCAGGGGTTAACAGCACTGGCTACTCTTGCAGAGGACCCAAGTTCAATTCCCAGCACCCACATGGCCACTAACAACCATCCACTAATTCCAGTTCTAGGGGATCCACTGCCCTCTTCTGACCTCAGCAGTCACTGCATGACACGGGTGCACTTACATACATGCAGGTAATACACTCATACACATAAAAAAAAATACAATATTTTTTAAAACTGTGAAAGGTAGGCTAGGTGTGGTACTACCCAACTTAATTCTAGCACTCAGGAGGCAGGTGGATCTCTGTGGGTTTAAGGCCAGCCAGGTCTACATAGCAAGTTCCAGGCTACTCAGGGCTATAAGGCGAGTCTTGCCTCAAACAACGGGGCACTCAGAACTAGCAGGACCTAGGTTCAATTCCCAGCATCACAAAGAAAGAGGAGGCGGGAGAGTGCAGCAGAGAGAGCTGAACGGGTGAAGGTGCCCTGCTGCCTGCTCAGCCTGGTAGACTGTGTTTGATCCCTATACACACATGGGGTGGAAGGACAGAGCTAACCTCCACCACTTTTTCTGACCTACACACATAATAAAAAAATTTTTTCGACAAAAGGAAGACTAGTGGGGCATGGTGGCACCCACCTTTAATCCCAGCACTTAGGAGGCCAGCAGATCTCTGTGAGATCAAGGCCAGCCTGGTCTACATAGACCAGCTAGGGCTACAGGGAGACCCTGTCTCAAAAAGACAAAAAAAAAAAAAAAAGATTACTAAATCCTTTAGCTGCTACAAAAACCTGTTGGAAATTTCCAAGATCTTTTCATTCTTCAACAATTTAAATTTTGTAGTAAGATTTCACAGGTGAGAGCTGCAAGATGGCTGAGTGAGTAAAGACACTTGCCACCAAGCTGGATGCTCGGAATCCACACGGTAGAGGAGAACCAACTCCACCACTCCAGCACAAGTGCACCCATACACATACGTGCATACATGCACAAAATAAATGTTGGAACAGTGAACAAGACCTGGTTTGGTAAAAATACCTTCGCTCCCTGTCCTTTCCCATGATTTGATTATGAATCAAATCAAATTACTCATAACCAGAAAAAGATGGGGTGTTCTCACCTCACTGGAAAGCCTGCTGGTGCTGTGAGGAAGCGGCCACTTCACACTCTGCTCTAGGCCAGTAAAGACCATCTTGGACCTTGGAGCCTGTGGCTCTACCCAAAGGCGAAATGTCAACAAGACTCATTCCTGCACTGTTCTACAGTCTCTGCTCCTGATTCCAAAACAAAGGCAGAGCTGCAGGCCAAGCTCCCCTGTATGCAGACTCCACTTTGCAGGCTCATGGAGCTGCGCTGAGAACTCTACACCAAGAAGCACTCTCTACATGGCCCTTTCTTCTCTTTCTGGGTGTTGGGTGATAGGAACAGGGCCTCGAGAACACCAGGCAGGCACACACCTGAGCTACTGGCCCATGCCCACCATCTCTTCCTCTGTTCTTGCATCAGGCCTGGCCTATCCCCAAAGGCATGGTCTCCACCAGATGCCAATCCCTCCCAGCAACTGGCACCTGAGGCCCAGGTCTGCCCCGTCCCTGCCCCTTTCCACCTTCCCTATGCTTGGCCTTCTTTCTAGGTCTCTTTCCTCTCAAGCTTTGAGGAAAGATTAGATGAGATAGGACAAGCTTCCTTCTTTCAAACAAAAGATAGATTAAGCTCATTTTCTGGCCAGTAAAGCTCCCCATGCCTCACTTTAAGAGCCACACCTCTCAACTGTAGTCCCTTTCACCATATAGAGAAACACACCCAGAGGCAGCCTGGCTTCTTGTTCTGGACAGTCAATGGCTATCAGCAGGGGGAAGCTTTCCCTCTACTTTGCTTTACTCTGAATTCACGACCTCCACCACAGCAACCCAGAGGTGGGGCACACTCCCACCGGCCAACAAAAGCTGACACTGAGCCTCCACATCCATCCACTTCCAGGAAGCTTCTTCTGCAGTGGCCAGTCCTCCACACTTCATAGGACAACTAGAGACTTTCACAGGGACACAGATATAGGATGTTCTAGAAAGTTCAGGACAGCACTACACATGCAACAGGGTTCTTAAAGACAGGACTGATCTACCTTTGTTGGGAGGGTATTTCGGCTTCTTTCCACCACCAACCAGAGCTAAATAGTTGCAGCGAAATAACATTTCCACATGGCCAACTCCTCCTTCTAAAAACTCTGAAACGATAGTTTAAAAAGACAATTTTAACAAGTTAACAGGTGTATTTTTAAAAACTATATTATTTTTATATTTTTATGTGTACGCGTGTATTGCCTGCATGTCGTGCAATGCCCTCGGAGGACAGATGAGGCTGTCGGATCCCCTGGAACTGGAGTCACGGACAGTTGTTAGCTGCCATGTGGGTGCTGGGACTGGAACCCATGTCTTCTGTAAGAACATCCAGTGTTCTTAACCGCTGAGCCATCTCTCCAGCCCAGCAGGTGTACTTTACACAGAGAAAAAGTGAAGACATAGAACACTCAGCATTCCTTCTTTCCTCCAGACAGGGCCTCACACTGTGAATCCCTGGCTGGCCTGGACTCCTGTGAACCAGACCAGACTCAAACTCACAGATATCCTCCTGCCTCTGCCTCCCAGATGGTGCTGGGATTAATGGCGTGTACCACTACACCTGGCCACCATTTCATTTTTTAAAACAATTTATTATTTTTATGTGTCTAAGTGTATTGCCTGCATATGTGTAAGTGCACCCATGCTGTGCAATGCCCATGGTCAGAAGAGGGAGTCGGATCCTCTGGAACTGAAGTTAGGGATAGTTGTTAGCCACCATGTGGGTGCTGGGAACTGAACCCAGGTCCTCTGCCAAAGCAGCCAGTGCTCTTAACTACTGAGTCACCTCTCCAGGCCCCACTATCAGAAGTAGACGTGTGACTGGAGCACTCCTGTTTCTTTCTGCACTGTGTCTGAGAACTGAGACACACTCCCCGAGAAACCAACTCAGAAAATGTGGAAAATACTCAAATTCATATTCTAAGTGCAGCAGGATCTATATAGAAGCTGCAAAGCAAGGAGTGATGGTGCGAGTCTGCAATCCTAGTGCCCAGGAGGCTGAGGCACGATGATTAAGAGCCCAATGCTGGGGCTGGTGAGACGCTCAGCAGGTAAAGCACTTGCCCTGCAAGCCCGAAGACCTGAGTTTGATTCCCAGAATCCACGGAAAGGTAGGAGAACAGACTATTTATTGCCAGTAAATAAATTAATAATCTGCCTAACGTGGTGGTGTAGGCCTTTAATCCCAGCACTCGGGAAACAGAGGCAGGTGGCTCTCTTTGAGTTCAAGGCCAGCCTGGTCGACAGTGAGTTCCAGGACAGCTGGGGCTACAGGGAGACCCAGTCTCAAAAAGACCAAAATAAGTAAATAAATAACCTATAAATGGAGAAAGTATACTAAAAGCTTCAGTGAAAAGATGAGTCAGTTGTGATGATTCTCTCTTGATTATTTAGACATTTGTCCCACTAAGTCTGAAATACTCAGAATGTTCCAGGGCTGGATGCAGCTCAGGGGAAGAATGGCTGCTTTGCAGACACAAAGCCCTAGAGTTCTATGCGACCCAATGCCCTCTTCTGGCCCCTGCAGGCACTAGGCACTTATGTGGTACAAATACATACATACATACATACATACATACATACATACATACATGCAGGAAAATACTCATACAGATGAAATAAATCTTCAACAATAAAAAAAGGAAGTTCACAAATTATGTCAGCAAAAAAAAAAAAAAAAAAAAAAAAGGCCAAAGATTATTCATGTTCTCTGTGACAAGAGGATGCCCATGTTCTCAAGTGAGTCCCAGGAAGAAACTTCCATGTTCTGTGGGGCTCATGGAACTCAGCAGGACCACCAGCTCAAGTCTCTGCTCTGTAAGGACAGGGATGGAGCGCCTGAGACAGAAGGGAGCACACTGCCAACAAGCCAGGAAGCAAAGCTTCTGGAAACCAGGACTTCACTACAGACAGACTCTGACCTCTGTGAACCAAGAGTCCACCAGCTCCCTCAAGGTCTGGTAGCAATCCCAGAAAGGACTTAGAGTTAACATTACCCACAAGGAAACACAGGTCTTCTCAAAGGTAGCACTGCCAGATGGCCACAGTGGGGCTCTGGCCTCTGGGTTAGGTGCATGGCTTCAAACTCTATCAGCACACAGGTTCTTTACTCTGGCAGCACATGAGGCACTATTCATGTCCTTAAACCCACTCACCCTGCAGCAGGACACACAGCGGCCAGTGACACTCTTCACCTTAGCACTCATTAAGCAGAGTGGACAACCACCACAGCTTAGGAAAACCAAAAACTGAGCACACACCAAACGGTCGGGGAGGACAGGACAGTCTCCTCAACAAACGGCTTGAGGATACTCAATGTCCACGTTTGAAAAATGAAGCTGAACCTTAACCTATGCCACATACAAAAAGCAACCCAAAATGTATTAGAGACCCACAAATCAGACTCTAACTGTAAATTCCTGGAAGAAAATGGGAAACGTTCATGACCCCAGATTCAGAAATAACTTCTTGCCTCGGACACCAGAAGCACAGGCAGTAAAAGCCAAACAAGAGGCAATAACAAATTTAAGAACTGACTGGACCATAGGGAATGGTATTAGTGTAAAAACCTGAAAAATTACATATACGCTATCTCTACGTGAGTCCATGTGCTTAGCTGGACTACATAACAAGAAACAGTGCCAGCCAGGAGAAACCTCCCTGAGTTGTTGGTCAGGGTGGTGTAAGAGACTCCCAAAATTACACAGGCTATTGCCACAGTCCTTGATTCCCTCCCAGAACTTGAAGGTAAGACCCTATTGCTGAAGACAGGCACACTGTGGACACAGGATTTAGAGCAATGGAATTGGAACTGACCAGGAAGCCACCTCCCCTGAAGGCTAGCTCTCATAGCGTTGAAGAGCACCATGCAAGCTGCTAAGGGAGACCATCAATTGATGGTCCAACCCCAGCTTCAAGGCCTAAAAACCACATCAATGACCAGCACAGCAAATGACATTGGTGCAGTAGTGGCACTTTTTTGTCTTTTTGAGACAGGGTCTCCCTGTAGCCTTGGCTGTGTTTACCAGGCTGGCCTTGAACTCACAGAGATCCACCTGCCTCTGCCTCCCAAGTGCTGGGACTAAAGGCATGTGCCACCACATCCAGCTAGCAGTGGCACTTTTATCTTGTGGGTAATCAACAGCTACCTAATTGGACTTAAAGTCCACTGAATGGGAGGAAATTCATGTATGGTACCGTAAACCAAGCCAAATACACAGTTGGAGAGGTCATAGATCTTAGAGAAAAATCCCAAGGCTGTCACATCCCTAGACCAATGTAATATGGTATTCCAATCACCACCCATCAAAGAAGCTTCTTTTTCAAGACACAGTCACAGAGTTCCACAACTGGTCACATACAGAGACTGTCTGTGAACTTCCCAAGCCTAAGTGGCACATCTAGGCAACCTCTACACCTAAGGCTCACGAAATATAGAACAGGGGATGAAGAGAACACTAATGCATCTTTATCTATCTATCTATATATGTATACTTTTTTAAAATTGTTAGTTTTTATTTTCTGTGTATGAGTGTGTTCCTGCACATATGTGAGTGCACCTGTGTCATGCAATGCCACAGAGAACAGAAGAGGGCTTCGGATTCCCCTGGAACGGAAGTTAAGAATGGTTCGTATTTCGTAGCCACCATGTAGGTACTGGGAATCAAATCCAGGTCCTCTGCAAGAGCAGTCAGTGCTCTTAACCACTGAGCCATCTCTCCGGCCCCACTAATACACCTTTCAATTCTCATCAATGAAGCTCCCTCATGCAACAGAGGGTCAGGAACACAAAAGGTCACAAATGGCCAAAACGCAGAAAATAAGAGTTCTTAAACAGGACTCCTATATTAAAACCCACCCACCCAGAGCTCAGGGATCATTGCAGAAGATGGGGTGGAAAGATTTTAAGAGCCAGAGAGGAGGTGCACAAAATGGTATGAAATGGTACAGAGGTACGGAAATAGTCCTACCAACTCCTAGGATTTTGTAGGACTTCTAATATGAACCTACAGCAATGGTGTCAGCATACACAAGACCCGTGCAGACTTAAGCAAGACAAAAACCCAGCACCAAACTGTGGAAATGAACAGCGGGTACCAATCTTAGTCAAAGAATTATTGGCAGCTGATTACTGCTAGGTGAGGAAGGCTGATCTTAAAGGGAGGGACTCTAGATAAGTTGACTAGACCCCAGTGGATGAACTTTGACCGCGAGACATCTGGGAAGCTAACTTGATGTTGTAGGCCGTAATGCAAATGACAGAAGGTATGACCTCCGGTGGGGGGAGGGGCTATGGAAGGTGCCGTAGTGGAAGGAGGTATTAAGATGATTTTCTGTATGAAATACACAAAAATTCAAGAAAAAGTTTAAAAAAAAAAAAACAAAAAACTTGACTGAGTCCATGGAGATGGCTCAGTGGTAAGAGCATTTGCTGCATAGTACAATGGTCTGTGTTCAATCCCTGAAACCCACAGTAGCAGAGAAAGTTATCTTGACCTCCACCTGCACACTGTGGAACACACAGAGAAATTAATTTAAAATGTAAGCCCATTATATGCCAAAGATAAAGAGTGAAAGGAATCTATGGAATGACAGCATCTCTGAGAGCTGAGGAGACGGCTCATCTGGTAAAGGGCTTGCCACTCAAGCATGAGACCCGGAGGACATGGGCATGGCTGTAAAGGCTGGGCATGGTGGGGCATGGCTGTAATCCCAGTGTTTGGAGAGTAGAGACAGAAGGATCCCTGGGCCTTACTGGACAGCCAGCCTCACCTAACCAGTGAGCCAAGGCCAATAAGAGACCCTATCCTAAACAACAAGGTGGGGGGGGGGGCTGGAGAGACGGCTCAGTGGTTAAGAGCACTGGCTGCTCTTGCAGAGAACCCGGGTTCACTTCTCAACTTCCACATGGAAGCTAACACCATCTGTAACTCTAGTTCCAGAGGCTCCAACGCCCTCTTCTGACCTCCATGGGCATTGCATGACATAGGTGCAATTACATTCATGCAGGCAAAACACATATAAAGTAAAAATAATAAATAACAGCTGGGCGTGGTGGCACATACCTTTAGTCCCAGCACTCGGGAGGCAGAGGCAGGTGGATCTCTTGTGAATTTGAGGCCAGCCTGTTCTACACAGTGAGTTCAGGTCAGCTGGGACTACAGGGAGACCCTGTCTCAAAAAGACAAAAATAATAATAACAAATAAAATACTAAAAAAAGGTGTGTACTTAAAAAAATCAATACAGATGGCTTCTATGAAGACACCAAGGTTGACCCCTGGCCCCCACATGCATCTGCACAAACAAGCACACACTGGCACACACACGGCAGAGAGTACCTGCAAAGCAAGCATTTGGTAACAGAGTGATAGCAGAATACATGAACTCTCACAACTCCACAACGAAAAGAATCCAACAATCTTGTTACTAAAAATATTAGACATTTGGGGACTGGAGAGATGGCTCAGCAGTTAAGAGCACCAGCTTGCTCTTGCAGAGAGAGGACCTGGGTTTGATTCCCAGCACTCACATGACAACTAACAACCATTCATAACTCCAGTTCCAGGGGATCTGATGCCCTCTTCTGACCTTCACAGGCATTGTACGACAGAGGTGCACTTGCATGCATGTAGGCAATACACACATATACATAAAATAAAAATAATAAAATATCAAAAAAATAAAAACTTTTAAAAATTATACATTTCTCCAAAGATGATCTCCAAAGCACACAAGGGCCTCAAACTTGCACTTTAAAAGGAGACACCCCCCCACCTCCCACCCATCAAGCACACAACCACCAGGAAAACAGGAGCTGTGAGTGTTGGTGAAGCAGGTGCAGAGCACCACAGGGTCCAGCAGCCCTAGCTCTGGGTGTCTATAAAAAGCCCAAGCAGGGTCTCGGTGAGGTGTCTGAACACCCGAGTTCACAGCAGCACCATTCACAAAGCCAGAAAGTCAAAGCGATTCAAGTTTGCCCACCAACAGATGAGCAAGTACTCATGAAGCTTTGGTGAGGAGGACACCAAACCCTCCAGAAGTTCCAATGCAATGCTGAAGCCTGGTTCCTCACAGCTGCACAGGGGCTGCAGGGATACAAAGGCCCCTCAAGGCCATTCTAAAACTCTTGGCCACCACACCAGTTCTAGAGCCGGATTATTTGTCTTCTCAGCCGCTCTTCCAAATGGGAAGAAAGGTCCACCTGTGCTGTCTGCCCGAGTCACACAAGATCCAAGGGCCACGACAACTGTGAACTGGAGACCAAATTTTGCCAACTCTTGTGCTCTGAATGTGATTTATCTGGGCCTGGACTCTGAGCTCAGGAGCACCATGTAATTTTAAAAGGATGAGGGCTGAGAACAGAAGAAAATGTGGGCACCAAGATGGCCAGTGTACCCAGAATCATGAGAATACACACCACAGTGAGATCCCCACAGCAGCCACGATGGCCGAGCACCAGGTGTTACCGGCATGCCTGAACTGCCTCTGTTGGGCCCGATCCGTCTCACACCCATTCTATTCAGCTTTGGAATTAAGAGCTGGTTCTTTATAGAAACTCCTCCACATTTCTACAGCTACAGGGTAGAGAGCTAAAATCAAAGTGTATCATCCTTGAGCATTTCTGTAATGTTGTAGAAGTGAATGTGGCCCTAATACACCACTGTGAGACCAGGACAGGATCCCTTATCAACGCCAGGCAGCCCTCTCCTTGTGTCTCAGCCTTCCAGAAGAGCCATGCTGTTCAAGTGGCGCAGCTGGAGTGCAAACTCACTACAGGATGCGGAAGACACAAGACTGAGACCTTGGAGTAATGTGGAAGAGTGCCATCCAACTGCAGGAGCAGGCATCCCCAGGCAAGGGCTTCTCTGGCTCCCCTGAAGAGGCAGCTGCTCATTGGTGGCCCACCTTGCAGTCTTCTCACTAGGACACTAAGAGACAAGGCCCAGAGACCACAGAGAGGACAGAGTGCTGCACAAGGGCCCCATTCCCTCCTCACCATTCAGGACAGTGAGCCACTGAGAGAACAAAGGAGTAAGAAGTCTGTGGCTCAGTTTAGATTCAAGTTGCTGCTTGGCTGTGGTGGTGCATGCCATTGATCCTAGTGCTCAGGAGGCAGAGGCAGGTGGATCTCTGTGAGAGTGAGGCCAGCCTGGTCTACATAGAGTTCTAAGGCCAGCTGAGGCAACAGGGAGACCCTCCTCTCAAAAAAAAGATGTAAACTGCCAGTAATGTTAACTGCAAATGAGCCTAAAGGTGGTCACACAGGAACTGAAAACATGGCTCAGGTCAGGAGCACTGGCTGCTCTTGCAGAGGACCTGGGTTCGGTTCCCAGCACCCAAAGCGGCTCACAATATAATTTGTGCAATTTGTGTGTTTGTAATTTGTTTCAGAGAATCTGATACCCTCTTGTGGCTTCCACAGGTATCGGGCATACATGGGGTACACATACATACATACATGCAAACACTCAAACACGTAAAATAAAAATAATCAAAAGAATAACTTCACAGAATAGAAAAAAAGTACATATAAATTTCTTATAATGTGTTGTTCCTACTGTGGCTTTTTTTTCCCAAGACAGGGTCTTCCTGTTTCCCCCCACCCCCAGCTGGCCTGGAACTTACTATGTACAGCAGGCTGGCCTCAACTCACAGAGTGATCTGCCTGCTTCTGCCTTCCAAGTGCTGGGATGAAAGGCATGTACCACTATGCCCAGCTACCGTGACTTTTTTGTGTGTGTTTTTGAGACAGGGTCTCCCTGTAGTCCCAGCTGGCCTGGAACTTACTATATAGACCAGGCTGGCCTTGAACTCAGAGATCTGCCTGCCTCAAGCACTGAAAAAATTCTACTTATTTACCAGCTCCAGCTTTTTAAACTTTTATTTTATGGAAACACAGATTCAGACACTGAAATAAAAAAAAAGGAATTGCAATTTATCATTATGAATAAAATGTGGTCTTCTGGGGCTGGAGAGATGGCTCAGCAGTTAAGGGCACTGACTGCTCTTGCAGAGGACCCAGGTTCGATTCCCAGCACCCACATGGCGGCTATGAACCGTCCTTAACTCCAGTTCCAGGGGAATCCGAAGCCCTCTTCTGACCTCCACGGCATTGCACGACATGGGTGCACTCACATACATGCAGGCAATACACTCATACACATAAAATAAAAATAATATTTTTTTTAAAAAGTGGGGTCTTTTTTGAGGCAGTGTTTTGCTCAGCCTCCCAAAGCTGAGGCGAGAATGCTGGGATTGAGACATGAAGCACAGCGACCAGCTATGAGCACTAAGTGCTGGTTGGCTGAGGAGTTGGGCCCTGAGAGCTGGATTAAACCCACTGCCGACCTTCTCTCACTTTCCCTTCAGTAAGGGGGAGTGCAAATGTTCAGCATTACCCACCCCTGGTTCTCCCGAGTGGAGCTAGCCAGGACTAAGACGTAGGGAGGGAGGAGCAGTTTGCAGGGTCTGAAGTTCATTAGAAAACACAGCTTGGTCACACTTGTGTCAACACGGCCAGTGCACGGCCATGTGCGCATGCAAAGAAAGGTGGCTCTGGCTCCGTTTTCAAAGGGCCAGCCTGCTGGCTCTTCCGTTACGGCTGTCCTTCTACACTGAAGAGTGAGACGGAAAACCCCAGAAACAACCATTAAACCCTTACCTTGTTTCTCTTTTTCTTTGAGTGGATCGGTGTTATAGACTCGGAATCCATTTTCCATCCCACACGCGAAGCATCCTGAACAGGAAATGGGAAAGAGACACATGAATCCCCACGCTGAAAGGAGCAGAAGCAGGAGCGGGGGAAGCTGGCACCTGCTAAGATGCTCAACCTGCACACACTGAGTACTGAACCACAGATATTTCCACAAGACACGTTAGGGCTGTAGTTTAGCCATTTTCCCACCACAGGGCCCTTTTTCAGCATCCCTGTGCACCGAGCTTCTGCTTAGTACTGAGCATCCCGCCCCTTACTAAGGCTCAACTGGACTCTCCTTGCAGAACACACTGCACAAGTGCTGTATCAGGTACAGTGCTAGGTCCTGGAGGGGTGCAGACACACGAAAATCACATCTGATGAAAATGGGCTAAAATGGGCAACCTGGCCACTACAGACACCAGGATAGGGCAAGTGCCGGGTGCCGAGACAGGACGCAGGTGTGGACTCCTGAGACAGGGAAGGAGACAAAGAACTACTCTTTTCCACTTACAGAATGGTTCCTAGAAGGCAGACATGAGGACTCCCAAAGTTCCTTTCTACCCATGAACTGTCCAAATTCCTCAAATCCATCATGACCACAAGAGTGATCCAGGACATCCCTGTCACTGTCTCCGAATCACGTATCATGTTGTCAGTGGTCCACATAAAAGGCACAGCTAGGAACTGATAAAGCATCCCAGTCTCAAGATGCCATGCTGGTTCCTAAGACTATTAACCTCCTTCAAATGCCAGGCCGAACCACTGTTCACATGAAGCTTTGGTGAGGAGGACACCAAACCCTCCAGAAGTTCCAATGCAATGCTGAAGCCTGGTTCCTCACAGCTGCACAGGGGCTGCAGGGATACAAAGGCCCCTCAAGGCCATTCTAAAACTCTTGGCCACCACACCAGTTCTAGAGCCGGATTATTTGTCTTCTCAGCCGCTCTTCCAAATGGGAAGAAAGGTCCACCTGTGCTGTCTGCCCGAGTCACACAAGATCCAAGGGCCACGACAACTGTGAACTGGAGACCAAATTTTGCCAACTCTTGTGCTCTGAATGTGATTTATCTGGGCCTGGACTCTGAGCTCAGGAGCACCATGTAATTTTAAAAGGATGAGGGCTGAGAACAGAAGAAAATGTGGGCACCAAGATGGCCAGCATACCCCAAATCACGAGAATACACACCACAGTGAGATTCCCAATAGCAGCGACAATGGCGGAGTACCAGGTGTACTGGGATGCAGAGAACCAAGAGCTGTACAGGGGAGGAAGGCAAACAGAACACCTGCACACGCACCAAAGCAAACAGGTCTAGTAAACACAGTGACACTGCCACACTCATGGAACCAAATACCCATACACATGCCAGCAATGGTAAAATGGCTAAATGCCCCCACAAAGGAACATTACAAATCCATGAAAAAGGTTTACTACCAAATTCATCAATGTGGGAGGAGGGAGCTGGTACCTCACATTAAAAAAAACAAAAATGAGACTGAAGAGATGGCTCAGAGGGCGAAAGTAGTTTCAACAATTTAAAATTATGTGCAAATGCACTTAAAATTTTTTGGTTTTATGTATGTGTATCTGTATGCAGCTGTTTGTCTGAATGTGCACTATGAGGCCAGAGGAGAGTGTTGGATCCCCTGAAGCTGGACTTACAGGTAGCTGTGAGTCACCTGAGAAGCACGCAGATCTTTGTGAGATGGAGGCCAGTCTGGGCTACACAGCAAGTTTCAGGCCAGCTCGGGCTACAAGAAAAACCCTATCTCAAAAAAGCCAAAAAGTGATTCCTGGAGCTACAGTGATGGTTCAGAGGTAAGGGTACTTGCTGTGCAAGCATGAGGGCCTGAGTGAATTCCCAGCATCAACATAAAAGCCAGCATGGCTCTATGTGCCTGCAACCCCAGCACTGAGAGGTGGAGACAGGTGGACCCTGAGAGCTCACATGACAGCCAGCTTAGCTGAAAGGGAGAATTAGAGACCCTGTCAAATGAAGGTAGAGTACCAAACAGACATCCGCTGTCCTCCGTCACACAAACACTTGGGGTGCACCTGCACACATGCACAGTGATCTCTAAGCCTGATTTTATAACAGGCGTTTAGAATACAAAGAGAGAGAGGGTGAAGCAAAAATGGCTCAGTGAGTAGGAAGACTCCCTGCTCTGACGGAGGACCTGAGCTCAGTTCCCAGCAACCAGGTCAGGTGCTTCACAACCACCTGTAACTCCAGCTCTAGGGGTCAGTCACCCTCTGGCCTCCATTAGCACCTACGTACATATGTGCACATATGTACACAGAGAGCTATGCATACACATAATTTTAAAAAGAAATCTTTTTTTTTTTTTTTTGGTCTTTTTGAGACAGGGTCTTCCTGTAGCCCCAGCTGGCCTGGAACTCACTATGTAGACCAGGCTAGCCTTGAACTCAGAGAGATCTACCTGCCTCTGCCTCCCCAGTGCTGGGATTGAAGTCATGCACCAACACACCTGGCTTAAAAATAAATCTTAAAACATTTTGTTTTCATTTTATGTGTATGAGTGTTTTGTCTGCATGTATGGTAGTGCACTACATGCATGTAGTACCCATGGAGGTAAGAAGAGGGTGTTGGGTCCTCTGGAACTGGAGTTAGAGTTGTTAGCTGCCATGTGGGTGCTGGGAACCAAACCCAGTTCCTCTGCAAGAGTAGCTGGTGCTCTCAACTGTGGAGCCTTCTCTCCAGCTCCATAAAAATAAATTTTAAATCAGTATAAGCAAAACCAGGTTTTGAGATTATACTGTAAGGTATTAATCCAACTAGAGCCAGAAGTTTTGTATTAGAGTGTATTTCTTTTTTCTTTAAAGACAGGGTCTCATGAAGCCCAGGACGACTTTGAAATCGTGATCCTCTTGGCTCCACTTTGCTAGTACTGGGACCACAGGCATACGTTACCACTCCCAGAAAGGAAGTACCGGGTTCAAACCAGGAACTCATGCATGCTAGGCATGCACTTCATTAACTGAGCTACATCCCCTCCTTGAAGGAGAATTTCCTTTTTATTTTTGAGACAAGGTCTCACTGTATAGACCAGGCTGGCCCCAAACTCACAGATCCGCCTGCCTCTGCCTCCTGAAAGCTGGGATGAAAGGTGTGCAACACCACACTAGGTTGAAAGATAATTTCTTAAATTATTACTGTCCTTTAATATGTACATGTATTTTGCCTACATGTATGTAAGCACACCATGTATGTTCAATGCCTAAAGAGTGTAGAAGAAGGCATCAGATTCCCTAGAACTGGAGTTATAAGTAGTTGTTAGCTGCCATGTGGGTGCTGGGAACTGAACCTGGGTCCTCTGAAAGAGCAGCCAGTGCTCTTAACTGCTGAGCCATCCAACCCCCTGAAAGAGAATTTAAGTAACTGTATCACTGTTAAATCTATAAAAGGTTCTAAAACCTATTTAAAAACGACTGGAGATGCTCTTGAAAATTCAAATGCGCCCAGCGTGCAACATCTTGCTCCCAACATGCTAAGTGTGCTCCTTCACAGTCCCCACAGTGTGAAGATAAACCACTGCAGTCACCAGAAGGCTACACAATCCATGCCTCATAGGGTCACTACATGTGAGTCTGTCTTTCTTTAAGAACCCACCTGTTCTTTACAGGACAATAGTCTTGCCCTCCTCCAATCTAATGGAAACTTTCTGTGGCTGTCACAGAACATGCACACTGATATACATATTTCTACTGCTTACCTTGGTTTTTCTTAGTATTTTTACTCTCCTATAGGCTTTGATTACATTTAACATATCCCTCCATCCTCTGGTAGTGCCTAGCATCCTAAACCGAAGTAAATATATAGATGAGATACACAATCATTGCATTATTGACTTAAAATTACTTGTTTTGAACCCCAGCATCTTAAAATATGTCATTTTGGGGCTGGAGAGATGGATCAGTGGTTAAGAGCGCTGACTGCTCTTGCAGAGTACCTGGGTTCGATTCCCAGAACCCACAAGGCAGCTAACAACTATCCATAACTCCAGTTCCAGGGGAATCCAACGCCCTCTTCTGACCTCCTCAGCCCTGCGCAGCACGGGTGCACTTACATACATGCAGGCAATACACTTGTACACATAAAATAAAAATATTTAAAAAATAAAATACGTCATTTTAAATCATCTTGAGCAGAGATGGAGATACAGAGGCAGGAGGATCAGCAGAAGTTTGAGGCCAGCCTGGGTCAGAGTGAGTTCTCGACCAGCCCTAGTTTCCACAGTGCGCTCCTGTCTCAAAAAGCCAAACCAACTTTTTTCCTAGCCAGGGCGGTAGCACCGGCCAGTGATCCCGGCGGTTCTGGAAGCAAGAAGGGAAGTTCCCTCGAGCATAGCTCAAGACAAGTTTAAGCAACAGCAAGACCCCGTCTCAACAAATAGTTACGTGCTCTCTCTCAAACTTATTTTTGAAAGCCAAGATGTAAAACACTCTTCGAAGCTCCTGAGTAACAGCCATACCCAGGGGTCCCGCCCCCCTCCGCCAGCAACAGCGAGAACACCTCCTAGACCCCACCCTGGGAAGGACCAGCTGGAGACTAGGACCCGCTGGGGGAAATGAGGGCCCGCCGGGGGAGAACAAGACCCGAGGGGGGAGATGAGGACCCGCACAAAGCGCCCGCGGCTAAGAACCGGAACGAACCGCCGCTCGGTGACGGACAGGACCGGCGGCGACGCAGGGCCCGGGCTTCGGGCGGACAGGAGCCCGAAGGTTCGACCCGGGAAAGGCGGGCCGCGGAGCGGGGCTCGGAGTCCCCGGGGCGCCAGGACCGCTTCCCGAAGGCCCAGGGTCCCGCCCCGGCTGGGTCCGCGTCCTCGGGGCGGGAAGGCCGGGTCTCCCCAAGCGCTCGCCGCGCCTCCCAGGGAGGGGGCCGGGCCGTCCTCACCGTGGTCCTGGTTGAAGCCGGCGTAGAGCAGCCCATTGCCGTGGGGGTTACACGGCAGCAGGTTCATGGCTCTCCTTCGGTCCTCAGCACCGCATACCGCAAACAGCGGACTGTCGGTCCAGTCGCGCGGCGCTAAGGCCGCCGCGGCCGGAAGCTAGGGTCCTGGGGGGAGGGGGAGAGGGTGAGCGTCGTGCGTGCCTGCGTCAGCTCGTGCGGACGTGCGTGCGCGTGCGCGCACCTAGGAAGCCTGGAGCGCTGATTACACCCAACCTCGGCGAAGAAGGGTGGGCAGGGAGCGCGGAGAGCCTTCAAGCTGGGCCTGGAGGGCGGGGCCAGGGTGGGGCGTGGCCTGACGGGGACCGCCTTGGAGCGGGCCTCGGGGCGGGGCCTGGACGGCGGGGCGGGGTGGGGCGGGGCGAGTCGGGGGCGGAGCGGGGTCTGCCGGAGGCCTATGGGGCGGTGCGGTGCGGGCCGGCCGGGCCGGGCGGAGGACTGCTGGGGGCTGTAGGAGCGGGAAGGCTCTGCCAGGACTGCGCACGACGGGGTCCGTGTGGGAGAAGAGACCCCACCAGACACTCCGGCCCGCAACATAGTGTTCTGGAACCCCCGCCACATTCCCACGGGATACACGTTCCCCCCGAAACTGCTCCCTTAGTGCTCCCCGGCACAGGTTCCCCTGGACGCACTTCCTTATGGGACACACGGACACCACACACACACACACACACACACACACGTCCTCCTGGAACCCCCAACGTCTGACCCATGTTCCCAGAGTTCTCCAAAGGACACCTCCCCGGCCCTGTAAGACAAGGGCCTTCGAGGACACAGCCCCACCTGGGGGGCGGTCGTCGGGAGTGTGCTGGTCACAGAAGTTTGGCCCCCGGCTCTGGCCAAACCGAGGCTATGGTTTGCTCCTAGGCCCCTCTCTGTTTCACGTTCCTATTCCTTTCCCGCTGCGTTCTTCTTTGCCTCGCCATCCCAAGTGAAAAAAGCACATCTCAGAAGCAGCCACATAGAGCGTCAAGCCCTTGAACTTCCGGCCTCTAGAACCGTCAGGATCCTATTTCTGTTTTTTATAATTACCCAGTCTTGCGTATTGTCCATATGGTCCAAGATATTGTCATCCGGTGAATGGCACGGTTTGTGACACCCCCCCCACACACACACACCTTGCAGCCTGATTTCAGTCACCCTACTGTAAGCAGCTTTGCTTTTGCTTCGGAAGCCCACATTTAATTTGATGAAACGGTTCTCCAGTAGAGCAAGGCCAGCATCTCCGTATGTTTGAAAAAAAAACATCGTGACACCTATAATTGACGTTTTTCTAGAGTCAGTATTTTGTCTAAATAATTTTAAGATTTATTTTCTGCCAAGCCTGGTGGCACAGGCCTTTAATCCAGCACTTGGGAGGCAGAGGGAGGCAGATTTCTGTGAGTTCAAGGCCAGCCAGATCTACATAGTTCCAGGACAGCTGGGGCTACAGGGAGACCCTGTTTCAAAAAGACCAAAAAAAAAAAAAAAAAGATTTACTTTCTGTGTGTGTATGTGAGAAGCCCACGGAGGCCCAGAAGAGGGTGTCAGATCTGGAGCTGGAGTTACAGGTGGTTATGAACAACCAGATGTGGGTGCTGGGAATGGAAGAATAGCAAGTACTCTTAACCACTGAGCCATGGCTCCACCCCACTGTCTAAATAGTTTCATGTCAAAGTTACAGAGCTTTCTGGCTAGGAAATTTTCTGCATGGTGGAATTTTCTCAAGGCTACTGAAGACATATTGTGTTCTGAATCTCAGTGTTTAAAGCGTGCCCACACTCAGACTTCCCAGTGCGTGCCACAGGGGAAAAATGACAATTTCACTGGAGTCCAGGGAGTATTTCTGTTACGGTAACATTCTGTATGTTAACCACCAAAACATGAATACTCTTATGCAACCTGTTCTGTTTGGGGGTTTTTATTCTACAGAAATGTACTTTGATTTGCTGTAACACTTCCCAGTTCTTTTACTTTACCAGCTTGCCATAACAAATTGTCACAGACTTGGTGGCTTAAAATATTTTGGCCAGTCATGGTGGCACACACCTTTTGTCCCAGCACTTGGGAGGCAGAGGCAGGTGGATCTCTGTGAGTTCAAGGCCAGCCTGGTCTACATAGTGAGTTCCAGGCCAGCTGGGGCTACAGGGAGACCCTGTCTCAAAAAGACTGGGAAAAAAAAAAAAAAAAAAAAAACCACAAGTGTCTAGAAAGCCACATCTGACCAAAATTTAGAGAATAAGAAACTCCCAAGTGCATGTCCCCGGATAGGACTCCTATATCAAATCTCTACCACCCAGAGCTCAGGGATCATTGCAGAAAAGAGGAGACAGTAAGAGCTCAGGCTGGTGAATGACCGCAAGGAAACAGAGTTTTCTAGGTTTCTAGGAACTTGCTCATAAGAACTTACATCAGAGGTGACTGAATGCACAAGACCCATGCAAACTCAAACCAGACAAAAAATAGCACTGAAGTGGGAAAAAGGACAAGAAGCCGCAGCCTTAGCTGAGAAACTATTGGCAACTGATCACTGCTGGGTGAGGGAGAGTTGGTCTTTAAGGGAGTGACTCCAGTGGGTGAACTCACACCGAGGGACAACTGGGATCACAAACCTGACTCGCTATATGTTAGGACATATCTGACAGAATTCATGAAATCCAGCAGGGGGCCATAATAGGGGTGCAGATAGGGGAGGGGGTCTAAATATGATCAATATATATTTTATGAAACACAAATTCAATTAAAGATTTTTGAAAATTAAAATAAAAATAATGTAAGTATTCTCTCACAGTCCTGGAAGGCAGGCAAGTCCAAAATGGCAGTGTGATCAGGGCTGTGTTCACTCCCAAAGGTCCTGGGGTAGAACTCTTCCTGTGTCTTCAGTTATCATGACTCCCTGTGTCAGGGCCTGTGGAGGGCTAAGGACTCCAAGCAGCCAAAGGGCTCCAGGTCACAGGGGCTTAGGGAGATGCATTCTACACAAGTGGACACAAGTGGAAGTCCTTTAGTCAGAAATAAAACAAGTATGGGCATGGTGGTTTATACCTGTAATCCCAGCACTTGGGAGGAAGCTGAGACAGAAGATCCCAAGTTAGAGGGCAGCCAGGTCTACATAGCAAGTTCAAGACCACCTGAGCAACATAGTGGGACCCTGCCTCAAAAAATAAAATAGAATCGGAAGAGCAGGGGAGAGGAAAGAACCCATCTGGCCTGGTTAAGCCTGAGATCCATCCCACACAGCCCTCCATCTGGCCCAGCAGATCTGGGTGAAGAGAAGAGGCTGCAGGGGCTTTAAACTGACCTCCTTTCATCTCCATGGCCACAAACCTGGGACAGAGCTGCTGGGGCATAGCTGTCCCTGCCGTGGCTGCTTTCTCTGTCGGTGGCACATCAAAGGGGAGGCTGCGAAGGCCCGGGCAGGATATCCTCAGAGGATGTCCTCACAGGCTGGCCACTGTCAAGAAGGCCTTGTTTCTTTGGGGTTCACGGACTGTCCACGTTCACGTGCTTCTCTGTAATTGTCTGTCTGCCTCATGTCCATACAGTTGAATGGTTCCTAGCTTCAGGCCTTTGGTGGCCAAGATAACTGTGGTCCATCTTCTCTAAAGACACTGTTGATGTGGACCTAAGATTCTGTGAATAGCTGAAAGTCTGCAAGTTACTAAAAGAAACTGAGGCCATCTGAGCTTTTATTTCGCCTTTCTTGCTGTGTAACCCTCATTATGTCCAGCTTCCACAGAGAAACATGAGGCAGCAGGGCCAGAGAAGAGACCCAGGCTTGAGCCTTTGTAAAACCAGCATGGTGACTGGCATAGTAGCAAAGGTTTCATCCCCTGGGAAACGCAGGGCCACAACTCTGCATTCCTAAGAAGGGACAGCAGACCTCGGACACTTACCAAGGGCACATGTGTGTTCTTTAGACACTTCTACTTTGTCTGGTCGAGACAGGGTTTCGCTCTCCAGCCCTGAAACTCTCTATGTAATTCCAGGTTGGTCTCAAACTCATGACAAAGCCACCTCACCTTTCCAGGTACTGCATGACAGGCACTGCCACCATCCCCAGCACAACTTTGCCTTCTGGCAAACATCATGTCCTGTGATGTCCATGCCAGGCAGGGAGACAAGAGGAGAAAAGAGCCATGAGGTACCTAGAGCTATAAAGAGACACCCCGACTCTCAAGAGAGGAATGTAATACTTTATTGAGAAATATTTTCTTAAATAACAGCGTTTCACTTCATTCTTTTCTGAGATCGTGTTCTCCTTGACACTCTGTTGAAACCACATTGGCTATGTTCAACATCACTGAGACATCTTTGGCATTGTTTTCCCATAGCTCCGTAACTTGTAGAACACCTTGTACAAAAAAACGTAGGTTTACCGAAAAATATGCATATAAATTACTTATTAATCCCAAAATGTGTAAACAACATAGCAAAAACTCTATCAAATCCATTTCATACCAAACAGGACAGATCTGTTGTACAGAATCTATGTGCAGCTGCAGCATTATTAGAAATCGGTGCTTTGACATTAAAAAGGTTTACAAAAAGGACCTCTTGTAATCTCAATGACGCTAGACTATCCGACTGTCACTGCTTCTGAAATTCCCTCGAATATGTACTCACTACACACATTTCGTCAGCCATATAAAAGCAGTTAAGGAAAAGCGGCACAGCAATCATGATAAAGTAACACCCGGGATTTCATGTTATCAAGAGAAGAGCAGAGGACTAATTTCCCTTTGCACACATGTCTAGAACAAAGCTTCATGCACACCCACACAGAAGTGTCGATCACCTGCAGCCTTGGTGGCACAGGCATTCCGACTGAAGCAGGATTGTTACTGTGAGACAGAGGATGTGGTTCTGGCTCCAATGTGTCTTTTGTTAGTGTCTTGCCTAAGACGTTTCTTCTCTTTTTTTCTGGTGCTAAGGATGGAACCCAGAGCTGCACTCATCCCAGGCAAGTGCTCCTCCACCAAGCCTCAGCCCCAGACCGCGTTTTACTTTGAATTTTGAGACGGGGTCTCACTGAGTTGCCCAGGCTGGCCTTGAAGTCACTCTGCAGCTCAGGGAAGCTTTGAACTTGTGATCCCCTGCTTTGACCTCTTGAGTAGCTAGGATGATCAGCCTGTGCTTAGCAGTCCCAGCCCCTAAGAAATTTTACAGCTGTTCCTGGCATAGTTTCTAGGTGGGCTCTGGGGTGGACGGGCGGTCCTGGCTTTGCGGAAGCTGTTCCTCTTGTGGCTGGAGCTGGTGGTGAGGGAGTAGGAGCGGCCATGCATCATTCTGGCATTCAAGCCATTGGCCATGGAGAATGACTTGAGGTGGCTCCTTAAGGCGACAGGGAGAGGGAGCTTGTCCACCAGGTGCACGGGCGTGCAGGACACCACAGCACGGCAGCAGAGGTCCTGCAGGCTCAGTACTTGGAAGAGGAAAGGGAACCATGCTTAGTTTGTGCCTGCCCTGCTAAGGGATGGACACAAGGGAGCCTCCTCTTAGGATCCTCTTAGGATCCCCACATGGCTGCCTCTCTCCTGGGCCTGGGGACCTCAAACCAGAGGCTGTGCTACTCATGAAAGTAGCAGATCCTGCTGTGCCTCCACCTCTGCCCAGGTATGGACCGCAGAAATGCTTTTTGTGAGCGCTCTTCCAAAGCTGTAATGATTATTTCCTCTCAAATTAAATGTATTTTCTTAAAAAAAAACATTTAGTGAGAGAGGAGAGAGGGAGAAAGGGAGGGAGGGAGGGAGGAAGAGAGGGAGAAGGGGAGGGAGGGAGGGAGGGAGGGGGAGGGAGAGAGAGAGGGAGAGAGAGAGAGAGAGAGAGAGAGAGAGAGAGAGAGAGAATGTGCCACAGAGTGCAGGAGTCAGTTCTCTCTCTCTACCATGTGCGTTCTGAGGTGACAAGCACCTTTACCCCTTGAGACATCTCACAAGCTCCTAAATACATTTCATTTTTCAGATTGACCATGGAAGCCTTGAGATGGGTCCAGGGAGGCAGACAGTTGTGCAGGGGGCTGGAGAACTACCTCACATCTGATGGGGAAGAATGGAATTTGGAATGGCCCTCCCAGCCTACCCTTGCTTGGCCTCCAGAGCCGGTCCATCCCATGCCGCAGCAGCACAATCCTGGCCAGCTCCGTGAAGGACTCTGTGATGTTGAAGTTGCACAGAGGGCTAACCTCAAAGAAGGTCACTCCTAGGCGCTCAGCATAGGCCCGGGCCTGCTCGGTGGGTACTTGCCGCTTGAATGCCAGGTGTAGCCGGTTCCCCACCAGGATTTTAGGAACCCCGGGGGCATGCTAGAGTGAGGGAAATGGGTCACTTGAGCAGTGTGCTTCACAAATCCATGTCCAGTTAGACCCTCAGAATGGGACTTTAGTTGGAAATACAGTCTTTTTGGTTTTGGTTTTGCTTTTCTGAGACAGGGTCTCCCTGTAGCCCCAGCTATCCTGGAACTCATTATGTAGACCAGGCTGGCCTTGATCTCACAGAGATCCACCTGCCTCTGCCTCCAGAGTGGTGGGATTAAAGATGTGCGCCACCACGCCCCAATGGAAATATGGTCTTTGCATTTGTAATAACTTAAAATGAAGAATTACTGAATGGGGGGGCTACCCTCCTGACTGGTGTCCTGATAAGGAGAGGGCACAGGGAAATGCCTGGAGTAATACAGCTACAAGCTAGGGCTGCCAAGGAGAGCTTCAACCACTAGACTGGGACATGCAGGAAGGATCCTCCCCTGGAGCTTTTGGAGGGAACATAACTACCAATTTCTGCCCTCTGGAGCTTGAAGAAAATTAATGTTTAAAGATGCACAACTTGTGGCTCTTTGTTATAGAAGCCACAGAACCCTAATCACCAGGCTTACTGCTGACCTACCAAGTCTCTATTGGCAGCTGGACTGGTCAGGAAGCCAACAAGCAGCAGCCCCACCACCACTGTCCACCCACCCACCCAAACCCAACTGGTAGTGGGACAGGAGAACCTGGTGCCTGAGCAGAGGCACAGCCAGAGCCTAGATGGATTCCTGAGCTTTGAGGTCCTCTGGTCACACCATTGGGTCCAGCTATGAGGCGACACGTCCTCCCTATTGTTGAAGTCCTGTCCCACAGGTGCCAACAGCCCCATGGGCCTGGTCAACATAATGAGTTCCAGGCCAGCCAAGGAACTGATCCCTGGTCAAAGTTCTTCCAAGCCTACTTAGAACTTGGGTGGCAGTGTCACGCATCATACCTCATCAATCTCCTTAATCCATCGATTGATGCCATCAAAGGACCAGCGGTTGGCAATGTCATAGACCAGGATGACACCCTGGGGGAGGAGGCACAAAGGTTAGCACACAGAACAGAGAGTCAGTTTGGTCTGGAGACAAAAACTAATTGTGTTTTTTGTTTGTCTGTTTGTTTTGAGACAGGGTCTCACTGTGTAGTCCTGGCTGGCCTGGAACTCACTATGTAGACCAGGCTGGCCTTAAACTCACAGAAATCCACCTACCTCTGAGTGCTGGGATTGAAAGCGTGTGCCACTCTGGCTGGCACTAACTAGTCATGTTATTTACTTTAACAAAAGCCGGTGATTTTGATACCTACTTCTGTAGTGATTACATTATCATTCACAGTGGTGTTTCATGAGCTCACTGACAGATGCTCAACTATCAAGGTGAGATGGGGGCTGGAACTCATGTCCACAAGCTCTCTGGGGACACAGGGTATGGGGCCATCAAAGGCATTGCCACCTTATGCAGAGCCCCCCCCGCCCCCGTAGTACAGTGGACACAGGAATTTGCTCAGGCACACACAAGCAGCTCATGTAAAGACAAGCACTCATGAGAATGCATGCACACACAGGCTTCTACATCGAGGCTGTATTACCTGTGCACCCCGGGAATAGGAGCGGAAGATGGTGCAAAACCTCCCCTGCCCCGAGGTGTCCCTGGAAAAGACGTTGGAGACTGTTAAGAGGAAGTTGCTGCTTCTTCCTGACAACCAGGTTCAAAAACTTTGGAATCACAGCAAGCACATATTACAGTCTTTGTGTTGGTGGCAATCTCCTGCAAAAGCTTGAGACCTTCACGGTGCTATCCTGCATCCTCTGGTGATCTCAGCATCAACATACCCTTCTGGTCACATCCACTTCTTGTTTTTTACATTTTCTGCGTGTGTGTGTGTGTGTGTGAGTGTGTGTGTGTGTGTGTGTGGACAACTTGAGGGAGTCATTTCTCTCCTTCCACCATGTGGGTTCTGAGAATTGAACTCAGGTTGTCAGGCTTGGCAGCAAGTACCTCTCTATCTGCTAAGCCATTTTGAAAGCCCCTATTTTTGTTGTTGTCATTGTTTATTTGTTTTAGACTGAGTCTTATGATGTAATCCTGGCTGGCCTGGAACTCACTCTGTAGACCATACTGGCTGCCTCTGCCTCCTGGGTGCTGGGACTTCATTCTTTCTCTCTTCTGATTGATCATTTGTCATTGTTTTGAGTCGGGGGGGTCTCATTATGTAGCCCAGGCTTGACTCAAATTGTAGTGCTCCTGTCTCAGCCTCCCAAGTGCAGAGATCACAGGTGTGAACCACCACACCCAGCTTCTGATTTTATTTTAAAAATCAAATTAGAAATCTAACAGTGGGTTTTTTAATGAGTCTCACATATTTAAGTAAACATAGGTTTGATTTTTTTTTGTTTTTTTTTTTTTTTGTTTTGGTCTTTTTGAAACAAGAGTCTCTCTGTAGCCCCAGCTGTTCTAGAACTCACTATGTAGACCAGGCTGGCCTTGAACTCACAGAGATCCGCCTGCTTCTGCCTCCTGAGTGCTGGGATTAAAGGCGTGTGCCACCACACCCAGCTTAGTTTTAAAATTTTTAAGGTTGTGAATGTAGCTCAGTGGTAGGACACTTACCTCATATGAACAAGGCACAGGGTTCCATCCCCAGCACAGAACATCAAGAATTTTAGGCAAGATCCTTGACATCCACTTACACCATCAGATACATCCCCAAGTTGATTGGCACAAGGAACTGACCAGGTTTCCACTCTAGATTATGGCACACACCAGGAGTGTGGTACTTAGAATCACCATGCCAAGAAACTACCAGGATACAGAAAGATGCTCCCTGGGCAGGTCCCCGGAGTGGCACACTAACAGCAATGACTTCAGTACAGGATGCACTGCTTCTCAATCTTTTTCTAAAGCTATGTGGATACATATCTGCATGGGATTCACATGCCCACTTCAGCATTATTCTTGGGGATAAAGAATTTCCAGACCTGCACACAAGGTATGTCCTTACAATGTGCAGTGGAACAGGTATGGCCCTGCTACTTTCATTGCACATCGTCTGTAACTGCTGACCAGCCCTGACCTTAGAGGAAATGTAAGGTTCAGGAAGGGTATGAATGGAGGCACTGGCTATTGCCAGACACTGGAAAGCATGTCTCATTTCTGAGAAGTGAGGCGTCAAGGATTTGAGGACCAGCCTCAACGGAACCCATGTGGAAGCCACTAGAAAGTCTGTGGTAAAGACACAGCAGGAAAGAGCTGTATGCTGGCCTGTGTGGTGCTGTCAGACACAAAGGCCATGGTGGTGACAGCCCTGCACAGAGCCACAGCTCCTCTACAAGCATGGGAGGAGAGGTGGGGCTAGAGGCTGGCAGGAGATCTGGCCTTGGACCTCAGGAGGCTGGAGTAGGGGTGTGACTGTATAGAGGGGTCAGTGTGGGCACAGCTGCTGGCACCACACAGGAGAGGTCCAGCAGGGACTGGGGTTGCTTTTGAGCAGGGCGGGAGTCCCTGAGGCCTCTGGAGGAATGCAGCAGGGTGGGCCTGGCTTCCTGAAGAAAGTCTGCAGAAGCTGGGGAACCTTGGGAGAGACTAGCTCCACTATGAATCAGGCAGAAGTTCAGGCTGTGGACATAGCCTCTGAGGGCAGGGCCAGTGGGGCTAGGGGTGGAGCCTCAGATGTGTCTCCCCACAATGCCAGGGACTCTGAAGAGGATGAATGAGCCCCAAATCTCCAGGCTCAGGGCCAGGAAGAGGAAAAGGACAGGGTGGTTTAGCTGTACTTAGAGGACAGGGGTATGGTGCCTGTGGGTGAGGCCAGAGCCAAGGAACCTGGACTGTTCTGGTCACTGCACTTCAGTCCCTGCCTGCACCAGGTGAAGAGAAGCAGGAAGCAGAGGACAGTGAGGTCTCCTCTACCAACAAGGTCCCTTTCCTGAACATACCTCAGCCCTGGGTGCACCCTCCCTTGGATGATGGAGTATGAGCCTCAGTTTGCCCAGGCAACTGGACTAGCACCTTTCTTCAGGAAGCAACAAGTTCAAGCTGGCACTAAGGAGAGTGGCCCTAGGGCCAAAGCATCCCAGCCAGCGTAGCCACAACTCACCAAAGCTGCAGTTTCACCCTCCGGCCGTCCAGCAGAATGGTGGTTGTCTTGTGATCAATTCCTGAAAAGGGGTTGAGGACATCTTAGGTGTGGGGGATTTACCCAGAGTCATCAACTATAGAACTCTGGAGGACATGAAACTCTGGTATTGGGAAAGAAAAAGCTTTCTCATCGTATAGATTCAAGTTTACAGGCAGGTGGGTGGTACCCTGATTATGCATCTCTTCTGATTCCCTCTGACCCCATGCTTACCTCCCAGTGGACAGCCCAATCATCTCCTCTCTCAGAATCAACCACCCTGGCATCTCTGATGGCCCCCATCAGCCCAGCGCCTGGGTATGCTGGGCCTTGGTCTTTCCCCACAGCTACGTGGAGAATAGGCACCGAGCCAGGAGGGCTGGCTTTACCCCAAGATACTGATGTGGACCTTCTACTCCAAAGAACCACAGAGCCATGCATGACCTGGTGGCTGGTGAGTTTGCTGCAGGGCTGTGACCAGCTGGGTGCTGCAGTTCTTATCCCATCACTGCCCCTTGCTTTACCACTGTATACCGAACATGAAAGCTCAACACAGCTACTTCCAAGAGAACAGAGGTAAAATAGCAGGTCTGACAGCAAGAGGGTGTCCCCCAGGTGTCACACCAGGAATGTGAAGGAAACACACAACGTGGGGTCAAACTGGAAGATACCGGTTTGTGCTTGTGTGTGCACCAGAAGGTAGGCCTGGGGAAAGGCCCCCCCGGGTGCCAAATGACCTCTAACGTATGTGTTGGGTTTTTTATTATTGTTATGTGTATGAATGTTATGCCTGCATGTGTGTAAGTGCACCCACGTCGTGCAGTGCCCACAGAAGACAGAAGAGGGCATTGGATCTCCTGGAATTGGAGTTACAAATGGTTGTCAGCCACCATGTGGGTGCTGGGATTTGAACCTAGGTCCTCTGCAAGAACAGCTAGTGCTCTTAACCACTAGCCATCTCTCCAGCCCTTTATGGGTAGTTTTTTTGGGGTTTTTTTTTTAATTTTTTTTTTTTGAGACAGGGTCTCCCTGTAGACCCAACTGGCCTGGAACTTGCTATGTAGACCAGGCTGGCCTCAAACTCACAGAGATCCGCCTGCCTCTGCCTTCCAAGCGCTGGGATTACAGGTATGTGCCACCACGCCTGACTTCTGGGTAATTTTTAATCTTCCTCTCTTTTCAAGTTTTCTATGTATGTGTGTGGGGTGTGTGTGTGTGTGTATGTGTGTGTGTGCATGTGTGCATGTGTGTGTGTGTGTGTGTGTGTGTATGATGTGTGCATCATAGCATGCATGTGGAGATCAGAGGACAATTTTCAGAAGTCAGTTCTCTCCTTCCACTTTATGTGTGAGTCCCAAGGATCCAACTCAGGCCATCACTGTCAACCCCTGGCTCCTTCCCCACTCACTCTCAGGGCTGGGGCTACAGACTACACCTTTATGCCCAGCTTTAATGTGGATGCTGGGGATCTAAACTTAGGCCCTCATGCTTATATGAGCCATTTCTCCAGCCTCTCAGCCTTTTTATTTTTATTACACTCATTTATTTATGTGTGGTAGTGGGGGGAGGAAGCAAGAATGCATGCCACAACATTTGTGGAGGCCAGAGGACAACCTGCAGAAGTCAGTTGTCTCCTTCTACCATGTCTTAGGGGCTGAATTCAGGTCTGCAGGCCTGGTGGCAAATCCTTTACCTGCTAAGCCATCTCGCCTGCCCCTTCAAGCTTTTAGTGAATATACCTTTCTTCTAAAATAAAAGACGCAGCAAATTTGTGTGTGTATGTTTGTGTGTAATGTGTTTGTGTATTTGTATATGTGTGAATGTCTTTATATATGTGTGCGTGTCTGTGCATGCATGTGTGTGTGTGTGTGCATTGCTGAGGATGGAACTCAGAACCCTGTGAATCCTAGACAAGTACCCTACCACAGAGCTGCACCCCAGCTTCCCCCAACAGTTTTGTTTGTTTGAAACAGGGTCTCATGTAGCCTAGGCTGGCCTCAAACTTTCTCTCTAGCCATTGATGACCTTCCTCCTGCTTCCCACCTCCCAAGTGGTGGGATGACAGACATGTGCATCATGCCCAGCCTCCAAAAATATTTTTAAAAACAAAAAGTAGGGTCTGGAGAGATGGCTCAGTGGTTAAGAACACTGGTTGTTCTTGCAGAAGACCGGGGTTCGATTCCCAGCACCCACAGGCAGCTGCGGGCTGTCCTTAGCTCCAGTTCCAGGGGAATCCGAAGCCCTCTTCTGACCTCCATGGCACTGCATGACACGGGTGCACTCACATACATGCAGGCAACACACTCATACACATAAAATAAAAATTAAATATTTTAAAAAAATAATAAAAAAGAAACCATCTCTTGGGGTTGGAGAGATAACTCAGTGGTAAAGAACACTAGCTGCAGAGGACCTAGGTTCGGTTCCCAGCACCCACATGGTGGTTAACAACCATCCTTAACTCCAGTTCCAGGGGGATCTGATGCCTCTTCTGACATCATGGGCAATGAATAACATGGTTGCATTTACATACATGCAGGCAATACAGTCATATACATAAAGTAAAAATAATAAAATATTAAGAAACCTTCTCTCAGCCAGCCATAACAGTACACACCTTTAATCTGACACTTGGGAGGCAGAGGCAGGTGGATCTCTGTGAGATCAAGGCCAGCCTAGTCTGCATAGTAAATTCCAGGCCAGCTGGGGCTACAGGGAGACCCAGTTTAAAAAAAAAAAAAAAAGCACTGGGCGTGGTGGCACACACCTTTAATCCCAGCACTTGGGAGGGAGAAGCAGGCTGATCTCTGTGAGTTCAAGGCCAGCCTGGTCTACATAGTGAGTTCCAGGACAGCTGGGGGCTACAGGGAGACTCTGTCTCAAAAAGACCAAAAAAAGGCCAGGTGTGGTGGTGCACTCCTTTAATCCCAGCACTCAGGAGGCAGAGGCAGAGGAATCTCTGTGAGTTCTAGGCCACCCTGGTCTACATAGCAAATTCCAGGTCAGCTGGGGCTACAGGGAGACCCTGTCTCAAAAAAGACCAAAACAAAAAACCCAACCATCTTTTGGGCTGGAGAGCTGGTTAGCAGTTAAGAACACGCACTGCTCTTCCAGAGGGCCTAAGTTAAATTCCTAGCAGCCATGCCAGATGGCTCACAACTGCCTATAATTCCAGCTCCTTGGAGATCCAATTCCCCTGATTTCTGAGAGCACCTACACACATGTGCACATATCCACACTCAGACACATCCATATAATTAAAAAGGAAAATCAAAAAAATTAATTTTAAAAAAGAAACTATCTCTTGGGCTAGAGAGCTGTGGTTAAGAGCACTTACTACCCTTTTGGAGGCCCCGAGTTCTGTTTCCAACACCCAAATCTGATGGCTCACTATCACCTGTAACTCCAGGTCTACGGAATCCAACTCCCTCCTCGAGCACCCATACTCACACACACAGAGAGACATAATAGACACGTACACATACCTGAAAATAAATCCGAGAGAGAGTGAAAGGCAGAGAGAAGACAGAGACAGAGAGACTATCCCTTGAGCAGGTGTGGTAGCACAGGTCTGTGATCCCAACACTGAGGAGGGAAGTGGAGGCAGGAGGATCAAGACTTCAAAATCATCCTCACCTATATAGCAAATTTGATGCCAGCTTGAGCTACCTGAGACCCTTTCTCAATAAAAAGGAAACAAAAACAAAACAAACAGCTTGGCGTGGTGGCACACGCCTTTAATCCCAGCACTCAGGAGGCAGAGGCAGCCAGTTCTCTGTGAGATTGAGACGAGCCTGGTCTACATAATGAGTTCCAGGCCAGCTGAGGCTACAGGGAGACCCTGTTCAAAAAAGGAAAAAAAAATAAAATAAATAAAAACCACAGAAAGGAGAACAAAACTATCTACACTCCCTTCTGGTACCCATGAATGCCAGACAGGTCTGGAGACCAGGATATGCTGAGGGTTGATGAAAACAGGACCCAGCCACTGAGAGAGCCTGAAGAAAACAGGTGCCATGAAGTTTATAACCACCAGAATCCAAACTGCCAGCCAGTGAGACACACAGGCTTTGTGGCCCTGTGTGCCATGTTCTGTTTTCAGAACTCACACAGGGAACATCTCACTAAGCACTGAATCTGGAGACAAGTAGCCAGGATATAGTCAAGTAAAGATGTCTGAAAACTCGTAATTCCAAAGTGCTGGCTATGAGGCAGGAGGGAAAGTGCTCTTAATTTTTTTTTTTTAACAAAAAAAATTTTTTTGGCCGGGCGTGGTGGTGCACGCCTTTAATCCCAGCACTTGGGAGGCAGAGGCAGGGGGATCTCTGTGAGTTCAAGGCCAGCCTGGTCTACATAGCAAGTTCCAGGACAGCTGGGGCTACAGGGAGACCCTGTCTCAAAAAGACCAAAAAAAATTTTTTCTTTGTAACAGGGTCTAACTACATAGCCCCAGCTGGCCTGAACTTACTAGTAAACGAGTGCAGCCTCCAGCTCACAGAGATCCAGCGTCCTCTGCCTCCTGAGTAGTAGAATTAAAGGTGCATACCACCACACCTGGCCCTACAAGTGGATCTTATATAAGTTGGGTGCACAACTTGGCTAAGCTTCTTCTTCTTATCTACATCACTGAAGAGGAACCACATCCTAGGAGCTCAGTGTGGTCCCTAGAGTTCAGGGCACAGTAAGGCTGGGGAAGCCTATATGCGCAGTCCACGTGGGCAGCTCCTCACCAGGCCTGCAGGTGGACCAGGAACTGAGGTCTCTGCACTCTGGCTTCAAGTCGACAGAGCAGTGAGTGAGGCAGCGCTGAGCTCATGGGACTGTCAGGCTGGCTCTGTCCTCTTTCCACCCCACCATACACTTCCCTGTGTCCAGGCCAGCACTCCTATCCCAGCCTCCCTTCACTTCCTCCCGTTACTCCTGGTCCCACTCCCTGGCTCCAGCCCCTGCCCTCTCAGCTCCGTAAAGGTCAGTGTCTCAGTGTCTCACCCTTCCCAGTCCTGGTGTCTCTCCTGTTAAGCCGTCACTCTATCCATAGGAGAC